CGATGACGAATCCCCCCTCCCCTCTCCCCTCCACGACAGCGGCTTCATCGACGACATCTACGGCTACATCGACCGCCCCGGCTACGACTACGTCGACGACGGCGACTACATCATCTACATCATCGACGATCAACGACGGCAGGTACATTCCCCTCTCCCCTTGATGTTTAGATCTTCTAGGGTTCGGTAGATCTCCCTCATGGGTTCTCCTAGGGTTCATGGGGATGGATCGACGCGGGTTAGGGTTAGGATTCATGGGGTTAGGGTTAGGGTATACGTTGCTCTCTGGTTCGTGGGGTAGGATCGATGGGGATTCATGAGGATGATCTCCCTCTAGTTCACGGGGTTAGGGTTCATGGGTTTCATGGGGTTAGGGTTCATGGGGGTTTGAGTGCATAATTTCAATAGTATCAGAATGTGCTGATCGTTCATCGTTGTCGTTTTTGTGGCATCTGTGATGTGTTCCTTCTGCCCATGGTTGTCAGTGTCTACTACTGAAATGTTCATGGTTCACCGTTGTCGTTTCTGTGGCATCTGTGATCTAAATTTCCTCCCTGTGCATGATTTCAATTGTTGTTAAGAGTATGTGCATGTTCTTAGGGGTTTTCATGAAGAATGCATAGTTTTGACTGTGCAACATGGGTTAGCCTACATAAAGCCACTTACTTGCAATTGTTGTTGGTCTATATGGGTTGATATACCAAATCATGCATGCTTATGAGAATGTCCATAATTCTTTGTTCTATTCCATTCTTATGAGAATGTGCTACTGCACATTGATTATGATGAGTAATCTCATTTTGTATGGGGTTTGATTCATGGGGTTAGGGTTTTGTGGGGAGGTGGTTCTTTGTTCTAGATTTTGTATGCTCTATTTTGATTGTGCATCCCTGTCAATGACTCTGACATGGCCTGTGGCTTGATATTATTCTAGATTGTTGCTTGCTGTTTTGCGTTGTCATGTGGATGCCATGTGGCAGCTCATCCATGGCCTTGTTTGTCCTGCATGTCATTGAGCAGCATCAGGAGGAGGAGCTCAAGCACGGCTACCACGACGCACCACCACAAAAGCAGGTTATTGTCCATCTCCATCTCCCTCTCCCTCTGCTGCCAATCCTGTTATTTGTTCTTGATTATGGTCACCACTAAATCTAAAGCTCTATAGTTGTTGTTCCCATGCTATCTACGGTTTGTAGGTTCCCATTCATGTTTTGTTTCTATCCCGTGAGCTCCTGCCATGCTTTGGTTTACATATGGATGATCTAGTTCCATAGCTATGTTCCTGGGTTTGCTAAATTGGTCAGTGGCAGTGCTAATCTCTCATTGCTTCCTATGGGACTCTGTTGTTCATATAGAAAGCTTCCTGCTCACTGTACTACTAGAGTAGTTCATGTAGGTGTGATATATGCTCTCTGGGTTGGTCTAGTTAATTCATGGTGTTCATTACTAAATGATTTAGTCCATCTGCCATTTCTGTGAGCTTTATTCTATTGATTGGCTAGTTGTGTTAATTTGTTACTTTGTGCTACTTTTATGTAATGACACCAATTAACTTAGTTGAGTTATGTACATTGCTACCCCCTGCTTTATGTAGTCAAGATTTTAAGGGATGCTTCATATCTTTCCTATGTACATGCATGCTTGTTTAGTGCAATTACATGGTTGCTTAATTAATTTAACTACATCACTATATTGTTGATCCAGCAAGTTTGCCTCACATGTATTATTACTGATGCATTGCTACACCAGTGTGTGCATGCTGGTTCAAGTGCTTTCCTTTATTGATATAAGTGCATCATTCTACTTTGTCCCTGTTATATCTCATTCTTGTTTATTCTATTTTGCAAGCTATTATAGAAACGTTCCAACCACCTCAAGATCATCCATGGCAAGGATGACAAGGTCAAACATGAGGCCAACCGTTGGTATGCAACTTGCTCCTTGTGGTTATACTGTCAGTTTCATAAAATATGTGTCTTAATATGCTAAGTGAAATGTATTGCTGCAATCTGAATAAGCTGGCTTAATTGTGCCTGTGTGCTGTTAGTCTTCCTTACCTGAATAACTAGGATTAAATGATAATAAAATTTCATAAGATATGTTTGGCTGTCTGTCCATGCATTCCAAACATTCACCTAATAGTTACGTTTCCTTTATCATGCAAAGAAGAGCCTCTCATCGAGTACGAGAAGGTTAGGGCTAGAAATATCCTGAGGAACAATCGGATGTTCCAGTCCCTTGGCATCGGTGCAATAGCGTCGATGATTAGGAAAACAAATGGTGTACAAGAAGGTAGAAGTGATGAGGTTCAAAAAGGTAGTGGAGTTATCAATGATGACCCAGAGTACAATCCTAAGGAGGATGAAGTTATTGATGGAGAGGAAGTGGATGATGTTGTAGTGAACAAGAATGTTAAGGTGCAAACTCTTTCTTGCTTGGAGGGCTGGGTTCTTTTATGCTATGTTATTCCTTGTGCTCACATATTTCTCTTGTGATCTAATGCTTTTTTCCGTGCTATTTATACGAGGCACTGAAGGAATCTAGGACGAAGAGGCCTGGTGTTAAGAAGACAGTCAGCAAGAAGAAGAAGAGCTCAAAAACATCTGCTGCAATGCCTCCAAGAAGGGTGATGGCCCCAGCTCCAGGACAAAAAAAGAGGATCCTGGAACCTGATGAACCTGCCCTTGATAGAGTCACAAGGCAGAAAGCAAAGATGGCGACTGCGACGGACCATCAGGAAAGTCTGCTGCGCATGGACTCTGAGACCTCGGTGCAAAAGGGTGATGAGTTTCCGCCCATGGATGAAGGAACCACTCTCAGCATGGATGGAAGTGGCACTGTCTGCCTAGATGAAGGAGGAACCATTTGCATTGATGAAGCAGGCACTGTCCACACAGACCTCAGCCCTGTTGCACCTTCTATTGACAGGAATGCTGTCATCAATGAAGAAGAACAGCAGCTTGTGCTTCAATCAGGCAAGTTGACCTTTGCAATGCTATCTTTTACTAGTGCACTTTCCAAATGGAATGATCATGTATGATTTTGTCGATTCCTGCATTTGTCGATTTCTATTCTAATTTATGAGTTCAATTTCATTTTCAGATGCAATGACTACCAAGACTAGACTTAGAAAGGGCAAAGGGCTAGAGAGGATCACCAAGTCGCTTGGTAGCAAGGTGCCTATCCAAATTGCCGAAGGGATGAAGCGTCCAGAGAAGCCTCTGCAGTCAGCAAAGCTTGCTTCTGAGTGTGGACTCGTTGCAAGAAGCCATCTTCCGGTTCTTCCTCACTTCAAGCTATACAAAAAAATGCTAGTCTATTGGAGAACTACATTGGGAAAGTTGATGTAAGCTACTTGTTTCATAGTTAACGTGCTATCTATTTTCTGTTACACCTACGCATGATCACTAATATTGTTCCTACCTTGTTTGTTGTCTTGGTAGGCAAATTTTGAGATGAACACGGACTCGGAGACCATCAAGACCGCGTGCAAAGATATTCTGAGAAAAATTCAAAGAACAGACGCCATCAGATCAAGAAGAAGTATTTTGATACCGTAGCCACAAATAAAGTCAGCATTAAGTCTCCGGTACCTGATCTGATGGATGGTGAATGGCAAGCTCTAGTGGAGATGTGGTCTACCCCAAGACACAAGGTTTGTCTCTGCTTTGTTTGATGCTTTATGTTCTACACATGATATGCTAGTGCTAGATCATGCTGACAGTATGCTTTTTTGTAGGAAATCTGTGTGTCGAACAAGATGAATCGAGAGAAAGTCGTGTACAATCAGAGAACTGGTTCCAGGCACTACACATCACACATTTTTGCCACTGTGAGAACTTTTCTCCAGAGACCTTACCGTTTGATCCTCGTTGAATAACATTTTTGATTCTTGCTGAATAACATTTTGATTTTTGTTGAAAACCATTTCAGAAAGAAGAGCATAAGGGTGAGGAGCTGTCTGCGATTGACTTGTTTAAGGCCACCCACAACAGCAAGAATCACGGGTTTTCGGAGCCAGTCAAGACTGCTATAGTAAGTCACTCCATGCTTTGTCCATGCCCTGTTTGATTCACAGCCAGCTTTGATGTTGTTTGATGCTTTGATGATTTGATGATGTTTGATTCGGAGCCAGTTCCATGCTTTGATGTTGTTTGATAGTTCCATGCTTATAGTTCCATGCTAGGCTTAATGAAGATATCAAAACAGCTTAATGAAGATAGTTCCATGCTGTTTGATTCACACATGCTTTGTTCAAAGCTTTGATGCTGTTTGATAGTTCAACAAAGATATCAGAACTTGTTGTAGCTATTTGTTGCATTTTTTATGACATGATGAAATTTGATCTGAATGTTAGTCAGGAAGCCATCTTATATAGAACCACCATTCTAGGCTTAATGAAGCGATCATATTGTTCCAATTGCATGTCTCCAGGTCACTAGTCATCATCTTCTTGTATAGATTTTGTGTGCTGGTTTGGTTACTTCAAATAATCCATTCGTGTGTTGGTTTGGTTTCTCCACTAATGCCTATCATTTTCCTCCATATGCTAGCTTGAGATGGAAAAAATGAAGGACGCGCCGGTACCAGAAGGTGAAGAGCCAAAGTCTACTGTACGAATTGTCGAAGAAGTGCTGTTGAAATCTGTCAAGCAAAGCACATTCCTCACAAATGTTGGGCTCCAGTCATCTAGGAACAACTCCCGCAAAGCAACTGCTGAAGTGGCTGCTCATGTTCGTGACCTTGAGCAGAAGCTGGAGAGGTCCGAGCTGAACTGGTGCAAGAAGAATTGGAGGCAATCAAGATGAAGGCGGAAGAATCTGAAGCTGCACGCGACAAGAAACTTGAGCTGCTGCACAAGAAGTCTCAAGAACAGGAAGAGAAGTTAGCCCACTTGATGGCTCTCTTTGGAGCTAAGGTAGTTTGATGGTTGTGCTGTGAACCTCTTTGTCTTTGAGCTAAGTTAGTTGTTGCATTTTGAACTTGTGAACCTGGGAGCTGAGCTGAGAGCTGTTGCATTTTGTTGCATTTTGCTGTTTAAACTAGAGCACATGGATCTTGTGAAATTATGTGATCACTTGTGCACCTGGGCCTTTCTGTGAAGTTATGTGATCTTGTGAACCTGGATCACTTGTGGATCATTTTGTTTATTTTCTGTGAAGTTATGTGGATCACTTGTGCGCCTGGGCTTGTGGATCACTTGTGCACCTAGGCCTTTCTATTTATAGTTATGCAAAATGAGAACCTGGGCTCTAAAAAGGCCAAGGCCCAAACAAGAATTAGACCAAAAAGTCTTGGGCCTAAAAAAAGAAATGACTGTAAGAATTTTTTTTATAAAAGGCTGCATAACAGAAAATAAAAAGGCCAAGGCCCAAATTCGAACTAGACTAAAAAGGTTGTGGCCCAAAACAATAGTGGCCTATAAAAAAATTCATCAGAAAAAGGCTCCATTCCTAGAAAATAAAAGGCCAAATTATTGGGCCAGGCCCATGCACATAAGCAAAATAAAGAGAGAAAAAATTAAACGGGCCGAATTATTGGGCTTGGCCCATGTAGACGGCTGAAATGGACTGGGCTGATTCTATTTTACGACCTTTTCATTTGGTCGTAATTCTGCCACGTCAGCTTGCCATGGTGGATCTGACGTGGTGTGGTCGGATTGCTAGTGACCAAAATAATTGGTCGTTAAATCTACGACCTTTTTTTGGTCATAAACGTCTACGACCATTCCAGAAGAAAGGTCGCTATAGTCAGTTAATGATGGCCAGCTTTTGACCTTATGTTTTTGGTCACAAAAAGGTCACAGATTGAAAACAGTGACCATTCGGTGACCAATAGTGGTGGTCACAAGTTGACATATTTCTTGTAGTGAACGAGGATAACGATATAGTAAGCATGTGTATGACTCAAGAGGATACCGATACACCTCAGGTTTTGTAAAGTATCGGTAAGCAAAGGGAATATCACATGATAACTAAAGGTTCATTTGAATATCATTCTTGTACTCATAGGGATCGATATGGGCGTCCACGATTCAGTTATCGAGCATTTAATAAAGGGGTTTTGTTCTTGTCTATGTTTTACCGAACCTACAGGGGCACAAGTTTAAGTTAATCACGATCTTCTAAGTGTTAGTAGGACAGGACAATTGAGGGTTTATTTAATAAATAGTTTCGTTAATATTTGAAATAGTTTTGAGAGGAATCAGAACGGTTTCGGGGTCATCGGAAGGGCTTCGGAGTTTATCGGGAAATACCGAGTATTACGATAAATAATATATAAGTGGAATTTTTTTTGGAGATGTTAAATTAATAATAAAAGGCTTTAGTAATTATTAGGAGGCTTTTATAATTAATTAAATATCAACGGGCCTTAAAAGGCCAAGAGGTGGAGGGCAACAAGGGCCCAAGAGGGGAGGCAGCCCCCCTTCCCTCTAAGGGAGATCAAATTGGGGTGCGGGAAGGACTCCCCCTTCCCCCTTTGGCCAGAGCAAGGAGGTGAGTCCTTCCCCTCCTTGTGGCACCCCTCCTCTCCCCTCTAACATATATATACTAGAGGCTTTTGCACCTTTTCTCTACACAACTTTTGGAGCCACCTCTTGTTCTCTAGTTGTAGTTCTAGTTGGTCCTAGTTGATCAATTAGAACTTGACCTAGATCCTCTAATCCTGATAATTAGAAACCTGGTGTGGTTCTGATCTCCTCACTCTAATTCTCCCATGATGATTAGCTTTGGACAGCGAAGCGCTGCCTGATCGTGTGGACCGTACGCTTGCAACTCGTAGAGAGGCCGTGCATTTGATCTTCCTTTCGAGGGATTGTTCATGGGCGGTTCGCGGGATTGTTCATCTATGATTTTAGGTACTCCAAGTATGATCCACACCGAGTTGTCTTCTTCTGCTGCAACTTGGAGTCGGTAACGATCGAATCCAAAACCGTTAATGCATATTCATATCGTTCCTGGGTGATCGTAGGACATTTTTTTGTTTTCTACTATGTTTCCAAACAATAGCTCGACCACTGACTACTGCAAGGGTCATCTCTTACTCCCTATCTCTCTCTACACCCAACCTCGCTAGTGGGCTTCTATACATGTGAAACTGACGTGGCTAAGATCGTCGCCGGCGGAGTTGTGACCATTGTGCGCAATGTTTACCGAATTAAATGCAATGGACCCACCCACCTGTGATGACCCACAAGTATAGGGGATCAATCATAGTCCTTTTGATAAGTAAGAGTGTCGAACCCAATGAGTAGCAGAAGGAAATGACAAGCGGTTTTCAGCAGTAATGTCTACAAGCACTGAAATTATCGGTAACAAGTAGTTTGATAGCAAGATGATTTGTAACGAGCAAGTAACGATAACGGTAAATAAAGTGCAGCAAGGTAGCCCAATCCTTTTGTGGCAAAGGACAGGCCAAAACGGTCTCTTATCATAAGCAAAGCATTCTTGAGGGCACATGAGAATTTCATCTAGTCACTTTGATCATGTTGGTTTGGTTCGTGTTCGCTACTTTGATAATTTGATATGTGGGTGGACCTGTGCTTGGGGTGTTGTTCTTACTTGAAGAAATCTCCCACTTATGATTAACCCCCTCGCAAGCATCCGCAACTACGAGAAAAGTATTAATACAAAATCCAACCATAGCATTAAACATATGGACCCAAACCAGTCCCTTACAAAGTAGCGTATCAACTCGAGTTTAAACTTCTGTCACTCTAGCAACCCATCAGCTAATAACTACTCTAGAATGCATTCCCTTAGGCCCAAAGATGGTTAAGTGCCATGCACTCGATGTTCACATGACACCACTAAGGGAATCTCAACATACATATCATCAAAATATCGAACACGTATATATCAACTTCACATCATTACTTGCAACATGAATTCTCTCGTGACCTCAAGAACAAAAGTAACTACTCACAAATGATATTCATGCTCAAGATCAGAGGGGTATTAAATAGCATAATGGATCTGAACATATAATCTTCCACCAAATAAACCATATAGTAATCAACTACAATATGTACAACACTACTAGTCACCCACATGTACCAATCTGAGATTCTGGTACAAAGATTGAACACAAGAGATAAACTAGGGTTTGAGAGGAGATGGTATTGATGAAGATTGGCCTCCCAAAGATGAGTGGGTTGTTGGTGATGACGATGACTTCAATTTCCCCCTCCAGGAGGGAAGCTCCCCGGCGAAATCGCTCCACCGGATGGCAAAAGTGCTCCTGCCCAAGTTCCGCCTCAAAACGGCGGCGCTCTATCCCAAAAGTCCCCCCTTATTTTTTCTAGGTCAAAAGACCTTAAATACCAGAATATGGGCACCGAAGGTGGGCTGGGTTGGCCACAACCCACTAGGGCGCGCCTGGGGGGCCCTAAAACCTGGCGCGCCCTGGTGTCCTGTGGTCACTAGGTGGCCCCCCTCCGGTAGTTATTTGCTCCAGTA